GAACGATAAGCCGGCGCGGTCATAAAACCGAAATTTCGGAGCCCGCGAAGTGTAACCGCCGTCCATAAATCGCAATCGTAACTCTCCATTACCATTCAATAGCGAGGCGAGGCGGGGAAAAAAATGGATCGCGAGCTCGGGGCGCGGGATCCTTCGTTCGCCATAAAACGGCCCACTTTGCCCGTGCGTTTCCGTGACGTTAAGTGAAATAATGGAAAGGTGATGGCGCGTAAAATTAATCGTGCCTCGTACGAATGTGGGGCAAGGTGAGAGGTAACGATCCCAGCGCGGTTTCGCGTTACTCGTTAACGCCGGACGATATTTCGCTGGCGGGATTCTCGGATTTTCCCTAATTACTACGCACCGTCGCGTACGCGTGTTGCGATGCCCGAAAGTAATTGGGAATGTCGGGCACGAGTGTGTCGTTAAGACGAATTTGGAACTTTGAGAATCTCTCTCATGAGAGAAACTGATATCATGTAGGAGACTTAATGAATTTCTACTACAGAAAGAGAGAGAGAGAGAGAGAGAGAGAGAGAGAGACGCCCGAAGTCAGGCTGAATTCGTGCAAATCTAAGTTTCGTGTCGAATTCGCGAAAACGAGAAGCGATCGAACGCATCGCTCGAAGGAACAAAACTGACGCGGCAACGCGAGGGACGGCCAAAGAAGTTACTCCGCAAGAACCCGCCACTGTCCTCGCGATAACCGGTACATCGACGAGAGATACTTATAGGTATATAATACCCAGGCCGTAAACGCACTTTTTATTCCTCCTTTGAGAGAGTAACGCTCTGCGGTGTACCGTTACATCGGCGATCTGCCGAAGAAGGGCTCGAAGAGGACCGGCGGACATTTCACGGGCCATTCGAACCTTCGGATGCGAGGTAGAGAAGAGAGGAAGGGAGAAGGAGAAAGAAAGAGAGAGAGAGAGAGAGAGAGAGAGAGAGAGAGAGAGAGAGAGAGAGTGAGAGAAAGAGACAGAAAGAATTAAAGTGTTACACGGTCCTCTACCGACACGCGCGTTACTTCGTTACACGCCTGTTATTCGGTTAATCTTCCGCGACGGTGCCCATTATTACGTAAGTTATCGAAAATCTTCGACAGGCAATAACGGACGTTCGCAAGTCCGAACTCCGGTATGACGTTTCCCATGCGAGCAATTTTACACTCGAGTAACTCGAGGACTGGAATGGGTTTCGCGTGACGTTTAGAAACCTGGCGAGCAGATGTGGAAAAAATATGATATCGAAGATAAGACGAGAGAGAGAGAGAGAGAGAGAGAGAGACAGAGAGAGAGAGAGAGAGAGAGAGAGAGAGAGAGAGAGAGAGAGAGAGAGAGAGAGAGAGAGAGGTTCCGCCTCGGTGGAATTAAGTTCACCTCGGAAGGAGGAAGGCTCGCTCAGGCAAGCACGCTGCTGTAAGATTTCAAATTTCGTAATTCGCTCGCCAGTTAGAATCGCGTCGCGCGACTTCCTGCCTGGCCGCTGGCCGGGCTGGCAATCCGATCGACGGAGCGGAATGATCAGCGAAGCGCGATCGGCGACGAAAGGCGTCGCGTCGCGGGGCGAGATTTTCGGCAGACGCCATCGCCCGGAGCGAGGGAATTTCATCGCGAGCGACTCGAACGCGGAAGGATTGCTGAGTTCTGAGGAACGTTGCGACAGGACGGCACAATTGGGTCAGAGTGCTATAGTCCGGGAAGGTAGCCGACCAGCTGAAGTTTAAGCGATGCAGTAGCATTTAACTGTACACACGGACAATAGTCGCGGCCTGAAGGGACCGTCCCAGAAACGATGACGGAGCAAACAAAGGAACCACGTGCCGCGGTGTATGACCGCTACACAAGGTGTCCTCCGAGTGGTCCGCCTCGTCTAAGCGCGGCGGCGTATTATGCGACGAGTACGCGATCTCCTCGGGCAAATTCAGTTAAGCGCCATTATATCCTTGCAATTTCGGGATCTTCTTCGAGCTAGTGTGCGTCTCTCCTCGCCACCCCTTCCCTCTCTTTCTCTCGCTGAGCGAAATTCGAGTTGAGTTCCCATTGAGAACTCGGGTCCACTCGAGTCCATCTCGATAAACCGAACCGATAGGGCTAGCTCGCAACCGAAACTTGATTCGTCAAAATGTTACAATTACAGACACTGAATCAGCCATACCTAGCGCGTCAATTTGCCCGAAAGGAAAGTCGACTCTGAAATTGAACGTGAAGTTGAGAGAACACTCTGTATAATAATATATATATATATATATATATATCTTATATATAGCTTATACAATGCAGCGGAACGGCGGTACTGCGTACCGCAGAAGTTGAGATTGAAGATGGAAGATTGCACCTTATTTCCCGGTTTCACCGGGACTCCGCAAGTTATTCGCGGAAGGAATTACGCGAACGACACTTATGTCACGTAGCTCGTCCGGCTCTCATTATTCGTATCCGCGTAGTCTTGTATTAACTGCGAGCGTATCTGCGGTTACCCGACGCAGATACGTGCGATAAGAACTCAGCAATTGACGCGATATCATGCGATATTGAGCGGAAAGAAAATATTAATTAAGAGCACGGCTTATCTCGTGCTCGTGGACCGTTTTGATTTTTACAACAAAACTCACCGTTTCCTCCTCAGGACAAAACCTGATTAATAATTTCAAAAGTCGGGTGCATTGATAAATTTATTTACCGTACCGTTCAATGGCAATTTCAGGCGGGAACTCTAAGAGACTCTCTGCTTCTACGCTTGTCTACGCACGCCTCCAGCTTCTTTGTTAAACTTTGCTCAGCTACGCAACGCCACGGGCCGCGCAGTGTCCTTTGATCGCTCGATGAGTAATGTTCAAGGAGGATCCTCGACTAGAAGGATCATCCGTTTACGCAGCAGACACGCGTAAAAGTTATGATCGCTCGCGTACAATGCTCGACATATATCTCTCCGATTGGAGGATTTTAATAAAGCCAATTTGCAGCAGTTACTTCGCGGCTGTTTCAACGAGGCGCGCGGTTGCGCGCAGCTCTCTCTCTCTCTCTCTCTCTCTCTCTCTTTCCGATATTGGGGCGAACTACTGATATAATTATTTTCAAAAGATACCCGCACAGAGAGAGAGAGAGAGGTATTGCGAATAATGTGAATACCGCGGAATAGAAAATTACACTCTCCGCTGGCGCGTTTCAAGTTTATACCTCTGAATCCTCAATTAGCTGGGGAGAGATAAAACGTGGAATTTTCACTCGCGCACGAGAACGATGTGTTGATAGATCGTATAAAATGTACACATGTAAAATGTACTGTTAACATTCCTTAAATTCAAGTAAAAACGCTCCAGACGTTTTTATTTTACCGATTAGGGACAGTGGAAAGCTGCCGGCAATAACTTAGCCATCTTGCGCAAGTGTGCTAAATCATTCAATAGCTAAACTATTACTAATTTATTGGTGTCACTTTTAATTTAATGACGCATTATTGCACGATACCGTTGGAATGATCTACAATTAGTGTATTGCGTCAATCTGTATTCAAATGTCACTGAGATCAATTATGCTTCGAGGGGGCCAATTTACGCCACTTTCAAAATAAGCGTTCCGCGTTTTTCCGCCGGTTATTCCAGTTTATATAGGCCGTTTCGTAAGAGTAAGCGGCAAATTCGTTTTATGGAAGGCGGAAAATACGGCGCGGCGATTCCGTCCGAAACCTACCTGTTATTTCGACGTGTGCGTGTGCATGTGGTATGTGTGTGTGTGTGTGTGTGTGTATAGTACGTTTCAGTTTTACCAACTCGTAAATCGCACGTGAACTTTCCGCGAAAGTTATAAACACCCCCGCACGCGAAATTACGCGCACAAAGGATGCTCGAGATTTGACGGCGAAACGTCAGTCGCCGTGAAACAAACGCGCGGTCGTAAAGGTGAAACGAAACAAAAACCAAAGGAGACGAAAAGAAGCACGACACGATGTCAATGGAATTCTAAAGCGGGATTTTGTCGAGTTTAACCGTGAAATTTATGAGCGTTTTGCAAGTGCAAATATAGAGCGTGGCAAGAAAGGCGACGGCCGACTTTATACGCTCGAGACGGAGAGAGACGTATGCGCACGATGTTCTCGTAGTTAAATAAAAAAAAAAGAAAAAGCAACGTCCAACGTGTTGAACTTTACGACGCACGCGATATTGTGCGATGCGCGACTGAACGATGAAGAATATAATCTTGTTAAATAAGACAGACATGCGCGACGTGTCGAATTTCATGATAGAGAGAGGGAAAGAGAGAAAGACACAGAGAGAGAGAGAGAGAGAGAGAGAGAGAGAAAGAGAGAAATACAGAAAGCAGTGCGGAAAAGAAATAAATTAAATTGAGCGCTCAGACAGAAAATTCACGGACAAATTTTCTTATCGCCGGACGAAACACTTGTTGTCTTATCTTCTATACGCTTACATATCGCGTAATATGTTATCGGCGTCGACAAATAATAAGAATAGCAATGTCAAATTTAACTCGCGTCGTCTGCGCCGCACAATGGTATCCGTCGATATAACAAGCGTGCGCGACTCGAGATGGAGTAAAGTTCAAATGATGCGTACCCAATGATTAATGACCGCGAATCACGGGCACATTTTGAGAACGCTCCGAGCGTTTCGCCGTGGCAAGCGGCGTCTAATTAGCGTCTCCATGCAATACGCTGTGAACGGAATTTCGCGGCTCCGTGTAACAGGCAGAATTCGCCCGCGAACTCACGAGAGGGAAGAACATTTCCAGTAAGCAATTAACAGCTCGCGAATGCGCGCGATTCGCTTTCTTTTAGCATCGAGAGCGATGGAGCGTTTGTGTTTCCGCGGACTCGGACCTTAAAGCCGACCGCGCGAGTTCCGCGCTTTCCCAGCTCTCGCGAGCTTCGCAGTCGCATTCGCGTCCCACGCAGACGCCGAAGCGCGGAAAACGCAGCCCCAACCAGGGCGGCGGGGGGGGGGAGGGGGGCGAATGTATATAGATCGGTGGTTGATGACTTACCCTGTGAGGCGCCCGAAGAAGCCGATGCACGGCGGCGAGCTGGTTGATGAGCGGCAAGGTCGCGCTGAAGGTGTGATCGGGTGGGTTAACATCCGGATAGAGGGTCGCATAAGTGAACGGATCGACGTCGTTGAGATACTGCACTTGGCACGTGAAAAACATCTGGCGATACATCTCTCGGCCCGCCGTCGCTGGAGACAGCCGGGACTTTTCCGATTCGCGATTCCTCTCGACCCCCGAAAAAGGATACCGTCCAACCCCACCCCCGCGGGGCCCCGCCCGCCCCCTCTCACGTGCACACGAGCGTGTATGCACGCCGTGGCGCGTTCACGCGCGATGCCGCGAACCGGTTCGTCGTATCCGTCGATTTATTTCGGATTCGATCTGTCTGCTGGAACGAGAAAACCAAAAACGTTCCTTTACTCGCTGTCTCCTCGTCGCTCTCCTGCGCGTTACGCTCGATTGGCTCTCTCGACTCTTAGCACTCGCCGAGACCTCGAAATGCGACGTCGATATATGATCGGCGGATTGCTCGGAGAAGAAAGTTGCGAATGGTTCGTTGGCTTTATGCTCGCTCGATAATTGATATTTATCCGCCGAATTTGCGAGAGACGGAATGAAGAAAGGAAATTGACAATTAGAGCTCAATAATTTGAGCGTGTGCGCGACGTGAAGATTTCAAGTTTGAGGCGCCCCCTCGAACTCTCTTGCGTCCTTGTTAGTCCGCCTGGTTTCCTGATCGCAGTGTTGGATCACGACGAACGGTCATGTATGCGCATACATGTGCACGTGTGTGTGTGTGTTCGCTGATCCACGGATCCGTCGATCTACCAGTTCTTACGCTTTCATTTTCCGAGCAATCCGCCGATCGACCGTGGAGAGGTACTGAGGCACGTAGAAACACCGCGACAGAAAGCGCGCATAAAGTACCCGAGAAAGTGGCAACGTTAGAATCGTAACGACCTATGACTGCAGTCATCATCGTTAATGCAACCGGTGTTCACGTCGTTTTCAGACGGACGTTGACCTTCGAGTTTCCTTTCACCCGCTTATCGATTTGTTACCTCAAAGGCAGAAAAGCAGCGGGAACGTTCTGGCTCCGTTCAAGGCTTTCCCGGGTACTTGGGGAAAACTTATTATTTTGCACGTTCTCTCGCGTGTCTCGCGTATTTACAAGATGTGTATCTCTCTTCAACGCGCGCCTCTCGTATTAATTATTATCGGGAGAGTAACATCAGCCGCTATTATGTCGATAGTCTGGTTTACAGAGGCAATAATCATTAACATTTTAATTTTTGCCTGTGTTTCCTCAGCTCTTAAATGTAAGATGAATATCTCACAGTCTTTCGCGGATAAACGCTAACTTGCCAATTCCGTGTTATATGAAAAAGAAAAAATTTACAAATACAATTAATTTCTTCGGAATCATCAAAGCGTAGAGAATATGTTTCTTCAAATTAGGCGAGCTTGTGAGCCGTCTTTGAAGCAGCCTATCGACACAATAGCTTTACCTCGCAAGGTTTATAACCGTCGGGATCGCTTCGACCACCGACAGCGATTAGCCAGGTGTTGGTACTATTCACACATCCGCCGGCAGACTTTACATAAAGTTCGACGTCGTAGCATCTTGTAGCTGTACCCGTGACGCGGTAAAAACTTGCTTGTAGCTAACCAAACTTCAAAAAATCTAAATCCCTGGTACTACGATCTTCTACACGGAGCGCAATACCGGACGCATTTTCTGCCTCCGCTGCAACGTGTCGCGATATTATACCGGGTGCTCGAGAAGAACTGGCCGCGGCGACTTCTGAAAATATCCATCGCATACCGGTTCTCACGCGTCTGCACCGTATCACGTCAAGTATCGTATCCGAGATAAAAAATGTTACATTATCAGGCGCGAATTTTCCTTTAAATATGCGGAAGAAACAAAAACAGAGATATTCCTGCGTGTTTTAGTTTCAAAGAACCACGCGATTTTATCTTACGACGACTATCTCGATATTCCACGAGCGAGGAATGTAAATCGAACTGCGCAGCCGGCGCCTATGCGACCTGATCCTTATTCACGTATCGTGGAATTCTTCGCGACATCGAGCAGAGACTCGGGAAAATCGGCCACGAAATGAATCCGCGAACTTATCGTTATCAGCGCGTGTCGACTCGTCTCGTCATCTTCGCTCTCGCATTGTTCTTAGTCGCAGATGGACCAGCCCTTCCTCGAACCGGCTCGGGAAAAGAGACGGAGAAAGGACAGATAAAGAATGGTCGAGTGTGAAAGAGAACGAGCGAGGAGGGGGGGGGGGGAAATATCGAGGGGTAGACGGAGAGAAAGAGAGATGAACGAAAGGAGAGGAAGCGCACGGTACAGGATAGAAGGAAGGAAAGGGAGCGAGGGAGAGAGAGAGAGAGAGAGAGAGAGAGAGGGGGGGAGAGAGAGAGGGAAGAACGAGGAGAAGGCAAGAAGGAGAGAAGAGGGAGTTAGAAGAGAAAACGAGTCTGCGCCATGCCACGAATGTAATCGCGGTTGTGGTCGACGAAAGATTCATGATCAAGATGCGATCGTGACGCGAGATCGAAGCCGCGAGGATTCCCAAACTCGCCTGAATCAACACAAATCCGTCTTTCAGGATGCTTTTCAGAGCCGTGCTTTTCCGACGCACGTGTTGGAACGCCACGCCGCGCCGCGTCGAGAATCGGTTCTCGAGATTATGATGATGTTTCAGCGCGCGCGGTATTTTATAGCGCGACGTATCTCGGCGTATCCGCGCAGCTCGTCGCGCGGATGCGCGGATTTCAATGTGACTGTGCGTCTTTTTCGGGGCGTATTTTACGACACCGTATTTCGAGGAGGACGTCGCGCTTCGATACGCCGCCTTTCGTAACGTCGAGTCCTCATTAACGCGAGTTTCCGTGTCCGAACAGTGCTCGTCCCGTAGCGTCTTGGATTCGTATTCCGAAGCGGATCTCGCGAGAAAAGCAGCTCTGATAACGCGATTCTTTCCTTAACGCTCGATCTTTTTTATCAGCGACTCTACAATACTGTAATTTCGGGGCATTGCCAGCGCTGCGAATCGCTAAAGGAAGATGACGAGCGACTTTCGAGCGAAGCCAATGACGAGCCGCGCCGCCTGTTCCCAAGTGGACTACATCGTCGTCGCGATCGTCGCGTCGAAAATTTCGCACGAGGCAGATTCGAAGGTGAACGACTGAAAAAAACGTGACGAAGCACGAACCGGATCTATCGGTCCCGTGCGTTAACTAACCTAACCTCCGAAATAAATAACGTCCTTCGGCAGGAGCGGCTGCACGCCAGAACCCGTCGAGACGCGACGCGCGACGCGCGACATTTCAGAAAATTAGCGGTCCGGCCTCTGAGATCGACCGTGCAATGCTCGCAAATTTCGCGAAAATATTTCGACCGTACTCGTCGACACGACGAAACAGCATCGGCGGACAGTCTGCGCGTGTAACATGTGACGCACAACGGTTAGGCGATCTCTTTTGAACAGATTATCAACACGTATCACGGTACAACAACGTCAAAAATATTTATAAACATGCGCCTCGCGATACGAAGCGCACGTTTCTCAACGAAAACAAGAGGCTTTTTTGTGTTGTGTTTACGAGCGTAGAATGCTCCAATTTCACGTCGAGGTAGACATATTTGTTCCCTGTCGAGAGCAGGATCGTTTAAACTTAACCTTATTTCTATGCGATGTATCATGAGCAATTACTCTCACTGCTCGTTCCGTCCGTGGTATCGAATTCTCGAGTCTTGGATTACGGACAAACCGGAACAATATACCGGCACGATGAGTGCTCGTACATACCGACATTCCTCAGCGGCTAATGAATGAACAACATCCGTCCATCCGCTTATTCGTTTATCAAGAACTTTATCCCAGCGTTTTGCGTCATAATAACTTACACGTGACTCGTGCTTTCTCTGCGTGACGTCGTGCACCTCGCTTCACATTCTAACGAAGCTTCCGATTGGTCCGTGATCCAATCCGAAAATTCGAAACGGCAAATCGGCTTCCTGCGTGCCTCCTGCCGCTAACTTCGCCGACTATACGGTCGCCCGGCACGGAGCCGTTGGAGCATCCACGCGATCCGTCCAGCTATCGTCGCAAGTCGAGTCTCTTCGAGGCGAGAACGAAAGGCCAAGCGACGTCCAGGTTAGTCCGGCGTTGCGCGCGAGATGAAAGTGCGCGCGCTTCGAAGCAACCTGCGGAGCGTGCGGAGTCTGCGCGAGGAAGGAAGTACTCACCTTTGTCGGGCGACAGGCGCGTGCTTCCGACGCGCGGACAGCAAAAACGCCTGCCTCCTCCGTGCCGAGAACGCGTGGCTGGAGCGCGCGGGAACCACGGCCGTTGGAGAAGCTGGAGCACGAGCGCGCGACGACGCGTTGGAGAGACAGAGAGAGAGAGAGAGAGAGAGAGAGGGGAGGAGAGAGAGAGAGAGGGAGAGAGGGGGGGGCGAGACAACGCGAATACACGTATATACGTTCACACGCGACAAGCAACAACGTGCCTTACCTCGGGAACGGACGCGGCGACACTGAACGCGCTGCGGACACTTGTCGCCGTACGGCCGACAGTGCCGCCCCCGCACGGTAGAACCCCTCTCTCGTTCGTCCGCGGCGCGCACCCTGAATCGTACAGGTGCTTCAAATCGGACGTGATTTTCAAAGACGAAGAACTTACGATTTCCCTGTGCATTTTATCATACATTCGACTGCAGCACGTACGACCGTATACTCTCTGCGAGCCATCGTTCACTGCGTGCGGGTGACGGATGAGAGGTTTCGTTTCGTTGGAAGAAAGTATATATGCTAACCGGAAGAACCACCTCACTGTAACTTGTTTGTTGAAAATGCATTTCTTGATTATTTCCTAGCTGCACACACACACACACACATTACTGACATATTCTTTATTAATTATTCAGAGAACGGGAATAATATATCGAATCAGCAACCTGTCAGCATGATTTAACCTTACGTTAATATCCGGAAACGGAAAATATTAAAAATATTAAAAATATTAAAAATATTAAAAATATTAGCAATCTAACTATTGATAATACTGCGTTTCGAGATTATTTCGCCAGTACTTAGGAATCGCTGAGACGAGCGATCTCGCTCGTGTGATATGCTACGTTTAGAATGCCAGAAAAGGTCATTGAATCGTTTACGATTTATTAAGGATGTTTCGTGTTTTGTCAGAGCGTGTATAAGCTGCTCGATCGATTCAACTTTTGCACGCGCGCGCGCGCGCGTGTGTGTATGTGTGTGTGTGTGTATGTGCGTGTATGTGTATGCGTGTGAATCGGTGCTATGAGCAGGTCGCATATATTAATGAGGATTCTATCATACGATACAGAAGCATTTGTAAATAATTCAGCGAGCCGCTCTCGAGCATTGCGCAGGAGTCACTTATATTTTCACGAACCGCTATAGAGTTGCACGGTAGCGTTAGCACCCTCCCGTACAATGAACCTCCCATCACGTTTCTATAGACTCGCTATATTCCCCTTTGTGCCATTCGTGATCCCTATGGGGACTCGTTGCAGCACGTAGTCGACGATATATGTACACACACACACACATACACACATGTGCGTTTATAGTTTCATCTTTCGTATCGCGCTGGCCGATTATTTTTTCACCGCACAATTACCATCTCAGCCGTTCCATTTGTTTCTTTCTCGGCGGTTCGTTCTCCCGCGCTGCAATCCACCGAGATGGTTCTCGATTTTTAGGCTTGGTTTAAGAGAGAGAAATTTAGAAGGTGACGATGTGGAGCAAAATATGATATGTGGAGCATCTTTGATCATTTGTGGAACAATTGAGGTGCTCACTGCAATTGAGAAGGGTAACATTCTTTTACCCTGAGACGTGATAAGCTATAATTGTTTCAAGTCACAGGGAGGGGGAATGTAAAGATGATTCTTAGGGTCGCTTGAATTTCCGATGGCGCGAGTTGTACGATACTTTTCGATTTCATATCGAGATTTATGAAACTCAACGTAACGTTAACGAGAGCTAACGGCGACGTCATAGTGAGTAATTGTTAACCGACACGCAATATACGCGCGCAGGGTGACGCAAACACTCGAGAGCGAACGAGGTTCCTTTGTTGGCGCTGCTTTTGCGAGCAATGCGAAAAAGTGCAGGAGGGTGACGCGGCAGCAGGGGGAGCGAGGGTCTCTTTCGTGGATCCCTCGCGAGAAACAATAATGTCGCGCGCACTTCCACTTCTCTTGATCTCGTACACCCCCTCGTGGGTCTTTGTTAACAGACTTCCACGGCATACGCGCCGACCTATACGTCGTCCTCGTGGCACGATTGTCGACGGGGATATCACGCGCGAAAGCGAGCGCATTGAAATAGTGAATACGGATGAATGCATAACTCGAGAAAAGAGCGGAACACGAAGCATGTCCTCGCATCTTTGCGAGGCGACGCGACGCTCGTCAGCAAATTTATTGCGCCTATTCGAGAGAACATTCGTCGCTTTAACGGATAATAAATGCGTTTCAATGCCATTCAACGACAAATCCTTTGTGAGATTTTTTCAATTTAACTGCGCTCTTCTCGCTTTATCTTGGTATCTACTTTTACATTTCTAATCGTGAATAATTTAAAGCGAGATTAATTAGGAGGCTATTATACAATCTACAGAACCACGTAGAATCACGTTTAACGCGCAGTTTGTTAGGTTTAAGAAATATTAATGACCCTCCGAAAAGACATTTATCTATTTTAATATCTTTTTCAATATTATCATTTCGTTTTATTTAATATTGTGCATCATGCGATTTAAAAATGTGATTAATTGATGCTCCAATTTCAAGCTCCATTTCTATCCTTATGTTTCTGTTATATTTATTTTGGCCTCAACATTTTCTTGTTTATAGCTAAATCTTTACTCGTTATAACAGCGAGATAAACAAATGTCGCGACGTCGCACTGAATGATGAGAGAAACAGAAATTACAAACATCAACATGCAACAACACGACGAGACTTACCGGTATGTAGCCGTCGGGTTGAATCCTCTCGTTGTCTCTGAAAGTAGAGAAATGTTATTAGTCAAGTGATGTTAATTTCTTCAATGATACGTAATCTGCATAAATGTTGAATTATTCACACATAACAGAATATGTTTGTCATTCCTAAATGTCTGCCAAATTTATACTCAATTGCCGTTACGACACGTACCGGTTTCTTCGTTGAATCATCGGTGTTTTCGGCGTGCTGTCGTGAATGATTACTTGGGTGGCATCTATTTCTTCGCATTCCGAGCTATCTTCGGAAGAATCTGCAACAAGCACGTTTGATCTCTTCCAATTGTCGGATAACAAACACACGGAAATGTGAGTAGAACGTCGACGAACGAGATCGATCGGCCGCAACACCGTCCGGTACATCTCCCCGAACGTTCGTACGAAAACGTCAAGAAAGATTTTTATTCTCTCTGCAGACTTATTCCGATCCGAGCGATTCGTGCGCTATTCGAGCAGCGCACCTGTTTTATTCAGTTTCCCCTTTCTTTCTTTCTTTCTTTCTTTCTTTCTTTCTTTCTTTCTTTCGCTTTCGTTAGATTTGAAAGGGAAAATTTGCTTTAACAGATTTAACCTGACCCGTTTCGCTGAGCTGCATCCGATCGGTCGGATAATCCGGCTGATACGATGTAAACCGGGACACGATAGCATCGATCGCTAAGTGACGCTAAATTCATTCCCGACTCACCCTCTTCGACACGTTCCTGTTTACGAACGCGGGAGAGAACAGGGCTGTGGCACGGGATGGCTGTATCGCCGAGCACATCATCGATGTCGGTGTGCCCGCCGATGAACAACGGCAGTGTGGAGGGTCGTTTCCTTGGTGACAATCTTCGTGGTGTCGGTTGTACATTGTCGTAAGGCGAGTCTCGTCCGCCATAATTGTCCGGCGGGTCAGGTGGATTCTCGACCTGCGGCGGAGATAACAAACTCAAGCGTTATGTCATTTCTCTTTGTCCTTTCGCCATTTCGGCGAAGGTCCGATTAATGGATTTTAACCCTGTCGTCTGCGGCGATAAGTCGCACCTCGTCATTTTATCAACATGATCCGATCAGACCTCGCAAACTTCTCTCTCTCTCTCTCTCTCTCTCTCTCTCTCTCTCTCTCTCTCTTTCGTCCGTCCGGCTTACTTTGATCTCTCGCGAATTTATCGGATTAAACACGGCCATTGTCGGTACGACGATGTAAAACCGCGAGACTACGTAATGGATACCGCCACGATATAACAATCATTGTTCTTACCCCTTCTGGACTGGCGCGATCTCCCAACGGCTCCTCAGGCGGAGGAGGCGGAAACTCGATAGGGAATCTGGAGAGGCTCCGCTTGACACACGTCTCAGGTTCAGGGTTAACGCCGATATCGATTTTTTCGTACGACTCGGAGGAGTCGGAAGTGCTGTTGGAAGTTTCCACGGAGATCCTGACGACCCCGTCAGGAACGTTCGAGCAACTGTCCATCCACCATGCCTTCTCGCCGGATTCGATGTGGCGGATTTTGTTAAGAGGCTTCGCGGAGTAAAGGGTCTCGTTATCGACAGAGCCATCAGGCTTGTCGGCGTCTTGGCTGTCGGGAGACGCCACGGGGATGACCTCGATTCCCTCCGGGACGTTCTCGGGGTCGTTGCTCATCCACCACGCTCGCTCGCCGGATTGCTGATGTCGAATGCGATTTCGCCGATCGGCGGATCGGAAACTGCCGCGAGTGGAGCCTCGTCTCGAGATGGAAGACGCCGACGAGGGCGATTTTTTCGTCTCCTCCGCCGGGACCTCGTCCAGCCACCAGGCGCGCTCTCCTGACTCTTGTCGCCACACTTTGAACTTGAACTTTCCTGTCGAATAAATGAATTGATACAAAACATTTTAAAACCTTTTTTTTCTCTTTTTTAAGAATTACACCTTAAAAATAATTTAAAAAATTGAAGGAGTGGCGTGACTGTTTGGAAGTCAAAGATATTCAAAGAACATCAACTTACCGTCATCCGGCAAAACTGTACTGATCGTCGTATCTTGACTAACTTCGTCGTTCCATGGACTGGCTCTCTCGACTCCCGAGGGGACGTTATCGGAATTAGAGTCCAACCACCATGGTCTCTCTCCGGACGACTGATGCTGAATTCTCGCGTTCCCCCCCCTCATCCCGTCGTTCTTCTCGGTGTTGGTGAAATTAGGAGCCTTCGACAGACTGTGACTGATCGATCTCGAAGTTGACAAGGGTTGTCCCGACTTGTTGCTGGCTTCGTAGTTCTCGTCGTTGGAGTCGACCCAGCCGCCTGACTTGCTCGTATCAGCGGAGTCTTGACTTTTGCTCTTGAAAAAATTCGTCACCGGCGCTAACGCCCTCATTAGAAAGGACTTGGCTTCTTCCGTCTTCGCGGAACGATCGCTCTTCGATCTCGGACTCGACGGTGGTCTGGGTGGCCTCTCCGTCATCATGGGTATCTCATCGGCCGAGGACGCCAACACGCTCGTCCTCGACGAACCCGCGCTGATCTTACCTCTGTTCTCGCGCATGGGCGACTCCGACGCTCGTCTTCTTCTCCGCCTCGAACTCGGCCTGTCTACTCGTTCGTCATTGTCCTCGCTGCTGGAGGAATTCGCGGAGGTCGACCGACTGCTGCTGCTGGAACTCGACGTCCCAGACCGCCTCTTCGTCGTTCCGCAAGGTGACTTTGACCCACTTCTCGATTCCTCCCATCTCGTCGAAACCTTCGAGTCACTACATCTCCCAGTCACTCCAGGCTTCGATCCTCCCGACGGAGTTCTTAATCTCGATCGACCAGACTTGATCGAGGTCGAGGAGCCCGAAGACGCGAAAGGGGGGACGTGTTCTGAGGTTGTCTCGGAGTCCTGAGAGCTTCCGGAGATGGTCCTCTGGTTCTTCTTCCTTCTTGCGTACTTGGAGCGCGACGGGTCGCCGTTCTCCATGTTCAAGGTCGACTTGCGGAAGTCCTTGTTCACGTACTTCGCTGCCACGATGCACTTCGACGTGGCGGCGGTCGTAGTATCATTCTTCGGCACAGGTGGTTTGCCGCGAGCGTCCGGCGAACCGCCTTGCCGTAGATTCACTGACGACGAAGAGATCGCGCCGCCGGTTGACTTGCCGGACGACGATGGCGGCGCCGCCGCCTTTATTTTTATACCTTGACTCGCCACTGAACTGGCCGACGACGATTTCGATCTGCCAATTGGCATGCCCGCGGAGGATGATCCGTCTGACGAGCTGGTACGCGTCATTTGACGCGATGTGTTTTTCGTCGATGTGCTCCGTGACTGCGATGTCGATGCCGAACGACTTTGCGACGTGCCGCTTTCGAATAAAAAATATCGATTACGCAAGACAATATATAAATATCTGAGAGATTTACACCTACGAGCTGTTTAAAATTAGTCCAGGGAGTTTTTCGTGCAAGCTAAGAATAAAATTACGTTTTCGCGTCGCGATCAAGTCGCTTCGCTTTCAATTCTCTGCACGGACGTAATCGATATAACACAAACATTGATTCTTCTCTTATACACAGCTCAAAAGAATTATGGCATGGATAATTTATTGCCGAAAATTGGCCAACTTTGACTGGCGATTACTTCGCGAAAAATTATTGCAGACTAATGATTTTGTTTTTTTTCAAAATGAAGCTTGAAGTCTCTATTTTAAGAATATACCTCCATTTCTTGCATGCACCCCTACCCCTGTAACCCCTGACATCTGAGAGGGCATGTTTGGTATACTGAAAATTGCAAAGTTTGACGGAATGCACGGACGTGGACAACGTTTTGTTTCGGGGACGCCGTTTGCATCGTCATAAAGTTCAAATCTTCCCCTTCAATTTGCAAAAAAGAAATGGAGTCGCTACAATTTCTTTTCGCAAAGTTACAGCCCTTCAAAAATATCGTTGTTTTCGACCTTCGGGCCAAGTGTGCACGCGTGTGTGTGTGTATCCGTGACAGAAGAGATAAGGACTCCGTGGTTCGTCACTTCCACAGTAATTAATGGGTGCGTTCACGACATTCAACAGTTGCGCAACTATTGAGTAATTCGTCAACGTTATTGGCCTGAATATAAGGATCTAATAAAAATAAGTAAGGACCAATAATCACTAATCGCTCACTGAGCGGTTTTCTCCGCTGAACGCACCCAAACCCTCCCTTCTCCCTTCTGTGCACGTGGTTAGGTGCGCGCGCGTGTGTATATGTGTGTGTCAACAAACACTTTTGCCGTTGCTCCACTATGATTTCCAGTCATTTAATCCGCCGGCCGGTACTTCGCCCGAAGGTCAAGAACAACGATATTTTTGAAGGGCTGTAACTTTGCGAAAAAAAATTGTAGCGGCTCCATTTTTTTTTCAAATTGAAGGAGAAGATTTGAACTTTATGACGATGCAAACGGCGTCCCCGAGAAAAAACGTTGTCCACGTCCGTGCATTCCGTCAAACTTTGCAATTTTCAGTATACCAAACATGCCCTCTCAGATGTCAGGGGTTACAGGGGTAGGGGTGCATCGCGTGCAAAAAATGCAGATACATTCTTAAAGTAGAGACTTCAAGCTTCATTTTGAAAAAAAAAAAAAATCATTAGTCTGCAATGATTTTTCGCGAAGTAATCGCCAGTCAAAGTTGGCCAATTTTCGGCAATAAATAATCTATGCCATAATTCTTTTGAACTGTGTATGGTATATTGAATATAATTGGTTTATTATACAGCTAATTACACACGTACCTCGACGCGGAATCTTTTCTTGGCGAAATTTCGTGATTCTGGGAAACGATTTCTTCGCTTTGGTCCTCACAGAATCCTTCCACGATCCGAGGAGACTCCTCGGTTCTGGAGGAGGAACTGGCGTCGGATCTGGGCGTGGATCCTCTCCTCTCGTACACTTCAGCCTTCGGCGACACTAAATCAGACTTGGAAGAACATTTGAGGACTCTCGTCTCGCTCTTGGGCGAACTACGTCCAAGTCGCGGGATAGACGGTCTTCTTTGGTTACACTCGTCGGATTTCGACACAGGACTCTGCCTGTCCTTATTACGCTCCCCACAGCCGCCGTGGCTCGCTCGGCAATCGCGTCCCGTGGAATCCTCCCTGCGCTGAAACGCCAGCTCCTGATGGCTGGAAGTTTTGGAATTACCGGGATTCCGGTTGCTTTCAGTCCTTCGTGCGTTACAGCAGCATTGCTCGTTACTCCGTACTCTGTCTTGACTCGCTTCTTTATTCGCACCGCGTGTGTCTTGACCACACGACTGGGTCTTGATGTCTTCGTTCGACATTGATGAATTCTCGTTACCAGGCCGCGCGCAGCTCACTCCGCCGAGGACTTTGTCGTTCTGGCTTCTATTACCGGAACTGTGAGTTTCCTGACTAGAGGCCGACGATTCCTTGGCAGCGAACTCGTGCCTCGTGGCTTCGTTCGTCCTATACGCGAAGCTGTTGAGTCTAGCGCTGGACGAGCTCGTATTATTGTACCCTCTGGACGAATACATGGACGAGCCTCCAGAAGCTGATGGCGCACCCGAGGGTGAGTACTTATCCAGATACGTTGACCATGAAGGCGCGCCGGATACTCTGTTGCTGCCGCTGAATCTCGAGAACCTCGACGTCTCTTCGTTTCGATCGCATTGTGTCTCTTTGTCGAAGCTAGCCGGCGGTTCACGGGATCGAGTCACTTCCTTCTGATGAACGATACCGATCTCCGCCCGCCTGTTCCTTACGTAAGACGAGGAAGCCGGAGGTGTCGGCGAGGTGCCTCGAGTCACCATCGTCAGCGTCAAGAGCTCATTATCAGCGAGTCTATCGTCGCTCTTGCCGTCTTCCATTCTGCTTGATATCTTCGACGGCTCGTGGCTACCGTCCTCGGGTTTGCTAGCGAGATGCCTGGAATCCTCTTCGTCTTTCTGATTACTCGGCTTACCGTTCGAGCTTCGGAACCTGTCCGTCCCGGAGTAGCTTACGGTCGCGGACGTTCGCTCATTACCGCTTCGCGATGGGAGAAACCGCGAACTAGCTGTCGAGCCAAATCTCGTCGAGATCGTGGCCGAGCTCGATTCGGACGTGCCTGAAAAGTGGAGCTCTTTTAAAATTAATTGTTCACCCGCGCGCCAGATCCGACGTGTCGGGAGCGACGCGCGTTGTGAGACGCGCAAGTAGGAATGCTCGTTACTTAATCGAGATCTGGCATCATTAAATGTACCGTTGGGATTTATACGCGAGTGCAGATTCGATTAGAACAGAAACAGATCCAAGAATTTCAACTGGGGCGGGGGGGGGGGGTCGCTATCTGCGAAATCTATAGCTTGGGGTAATTAGAAAGGAAACAATTATCGCGCAGGGAATTATCGCATAGAAAGTAACGATCGCGATGACTAGTAGAATGAAAGATGAAAGATCGTAAGAACAGGAGAAAGTGAGAAGGCACATATCTACATCTTTCTCTTCTTCGTAATGTAACTATAAAACAATCGTACTTACTGGGCGAAGCGGCTGAGCGGCCATAAGACGGCGCTCTCGAATAGACCCTGAAGGAATTCGTTTTCCCGGCACCGGCCACTTCCGGGCTGGGCTCGCGCGATGCTCTCCCGGAATTGGGACGTAATCCTCTGTAGGAGACCGGCGGCGGATGGTCCTTCTTCTCAATTCTAGCATCGTTGCCATAACTTCGACCGAAACTCGATCCGGGATATGTGCTGGAGCCGTAGCGCGATATTCCTTCGGGCTCTCTACTCTTCTCCCGCGAAGCCGGCCGGTTATATCTGTCCAACAGGGAAGACGACCTCTCCGATGTTTTGCCAGCTGAGTATGAGTACTTCTCGAAGAGAAGAGACGACTTGCTGCCAGATAGCGGGCTCTTCGCCCTCGTGTCCTCGGAAGACGATCTTCCGGAATACAATCGACCTTTGTCGGTATCTTTGGTACCTGCGGTAAATGAAGGAACATATCGTTCGTATTAAGATCTCGGGGGAAGCGATCCACGTATGACGCTCCAAAGACTCCTTTATCAGGATCGATAACATTATTTTACACGAACATGTGAAATAATTGTACAAAAATCGAAACAAGGGAAAAGATCGAACGTAAATATTTTTAAATATAAAAATTGAATATAAATTGATATTTCTTTTAAGCTACATACAGAGACAACGCCGAAATATTGCCGATGGAAGTTAACGCGGATAAATCAATATCTCACATGAATATTTGAGAGTAGGTTTCTCCTCGAGCTTGTCCTTTTTGAGAAAAGCGCCGCCGAAACTCGCGAGCACTCGTTCCTTGGCGGCAACTCGAGCGGAACTCGATCCGACTCCGGAATAGCTGCTTCTACAGCTTGGCAGGTTACTTCCGCCGGAAGTGTTCCTACTAAATGTGCTGCCTATGCCGACGGCTCTACTCCGATATGCTCCTGTATCGCCCTGTAAGTCGCAGACGGTAGAAATTATAAAGCTCCAATTATCAATCGTGTATTTTGCTTTTTACGAACAACAATCGGCTACAAATTAATTTCATTCAATTCGAATGACAATAAAAGTATAAATCGTGATAATGTTTTTGTTTGATAACAATCGGAAAATTACAAATCTTATCTCCTTCGTTCCCGAATTTTTCAGATAATTATCATCTCTCATCTTCATCTGTTTAAAAAATACATCATGTTGAGCTTTGTTGATGCGTGAATGCCTCAACGACATAATTGACCAGAAAATTTGCTCTTTACCGCAGATGAGGAGGAGCTTGTGGGTGCACAACGGATGCTGAAGGATTCGGCTCTGGCTCTGACAGGGTTGGCTCGAAGATAAATTAACAGAATCCCTGTATTCTCACATTTATTAATCTTTCGCGTCTTTAGATGTCAATATGAATTGGTGAGTGTTCAATTTCAACGTTTACAAAGCGTAGTGCATGTAACATTTAGACACAAATCGTATTCGTATCGATTGCCAGTGAAAAAGTCTCACCGCGCAAAGATGATATATTTCTCCAGTGAGAAATTATTTGCCAAAAATCGATGGCGTTCATTTATAACGCCCAATTTCATTAGAAAAGTAATTTTCCTAACGAGACTTAATAACTAAAAGATATTCTTGAATAGTTATAAACATAAATGCAGATGAATCTATCTTGAAAAAGAGAATATAAATCACCGTAAGAGGCTTATTTTGTTGCTAATAAATTGCATTATTAATGCTTTGCGTTATGTTGACAAGATTTATCAGACGCTTCTTGCGTCGGCAGTAACAAGAAGGTTGGACGTTAAGCCAATAAGGCACTCGCAAGAAATCGGTCTGTGGGTGTCCCAGGATATTAACGATAATAAGGATAATGAGGATAATGCGTAGTCTGCATGCATGCCCAAGAAGGCGCATTTGATGAATGTCTTCATTAAGACCTTTTTGCTCGACTGACTAAAAATATATTCACCTTATTTAAATGCATTAAAATTAGAAATTAAATTACTTTACCAATAAGATCTTGTTCAAATGATCTCTATTTAAGCTCTTCGACAATATTACTTAAAAAATTCACTTATTGGATAGACTTCTTGGATATTTCGACACTAATTTTATATTCAGAGGAAATGCGAAGTAATGAATCGATTAAATGTTTGCTGTGATCATCAAAATCATAATTACGAAACGTTGCATCTATTTGGAAAGCGGATGAGCGATTTCAAACAAATAACGAATGAACCTAAAGACGTCCATTTATTACTGAGACTCAATCGAATTATAACACCAATTTTATCCCGCAGTAATAGCTCGTCTTCGTTGATCGTTTAAATCGTAGGTCTAAGAATAACAGGGACAACAGAAGAGGAGGAAGCGACGAAAGGGAGCGGGCAGTATTTCTGCGAAGCCTAAATCGGGCTTCTGATGCGCGTCATCCGTGGGTGTGCGAAAGCGAAAAATGATAATTCGTATAATTAACATAAGTTTGGCGAGCGGCCCTGCAGTACCGAAATAGACGAATCAACCTGGACGCGGGAGTAATAACCCTTGCGTTTCTCGCTCGTGCAACGGGTGACGCAAATAAAAACTCGCCTTTACATCTCGGTCGCGAGTTTTTCTTCCGGGGCTTTTTCTCCTATTTGCCTTCGGTAGACACGGTAGATAAGGGACGAGTAGGGAAGAATATAACGACTTCCATGATTTCAGTCTCACTTACAATTTCTCCTGGAAAATTACGACACCGCGTGATAACGCATTCGCAGGGTAACCATCGGCCGGTTCTCCGTGCCGATGCTTCTGAAAAGTGCCATCCATTATTATGCTAATGGCATTCGGCGCGATAATGGAATTACGAGCGTCATTTCTTGAGACCGCCGAAGCAATTTCTTCGGGCGGAAGTAGACGTCGGAAACGATAAGTCTTCTCGACGCGTTGTATCCCCAACCCCATTGTCGCATCCGTGCCGATTTAAAGCTATAGAACATATCAATATTGCGCGATCCCTTTTCATTCTGGCAAAAATCGTCGACTGCACCGAACAAATATTCCGCGATAAAATGATGTTAAATGGTTATTAAAAAAACAAATGGAAATTTATGCGGCGTGTATCGCGATAAAGATTGGTGGAACTTTTTGCTTTCCTGTGTCCTTCAATTGAAGCTATAAAATGGAGAAATTACAAAATTTTTGTTTCCACAAAATCCCCTCTATACTTAGCAGGTAAAGCGTGTGATTCTCCTCCGTTGTGCTTTCGTTCCCAAAATGAATTTTCCAAACGAACGACTTGAAATTAACCGTCCGTGCGTATTCCGCGATTTCTATTCTCGTTCTATGCGTTCTATTGCAGATTGGATTTCTATTCTATTTGACGATCTTTGTGTCGTCCCGCTCTGATTAAGCGACCGCGTTGTCGCGGCAAGATTAGACGAAGAATTAGACGAAGCATTACGGCAATTGCCTCGTGAAGCTCGCTTTTGCATTTCGACCTAATCGAATTGTATCGCGCGGATACGTTTTTCCAAGAGGAACTTCGAGCTTTCTGTTTGATTAAAAATTTCGTCCCAAGCGAATGCCCTTCGCGGATGCAAATCAAGGGAGGTAAAGGAGTAAAGGGGGCGGGCTTAGGATTGTTCATCGTAAACGCTATTACTTAATTAAAGAGGGAAGATAGGGACGAGCATAGTCGGCTTTTTGCCTCTTTTCCCTTTGTCTTCCCGCGTAAATACTTAATGAGGAGTTTCGAGCTGGAGAGCTGTTTTGCGTTTCCGCCGGTTCGCCGTGAACAGTCCTCGCCGGGGAATAACGAGGAATCTTCGTGATCCGACATGCCGCGAGCCAGAAAACGCGCGGCGGCTGCGATCTTATCTCGAGATTCCTTAATTCCCCTACATCTCCTTCCTTTCGGGGCAGCGAACGAAGCAGAAATCGGTCGATTGGTCACTGAAGAGGCGAAACGGCAGCCGCGTCGGTTCCCGCCGTAATCTCCGGCGCGATCTCTCGTGCGGTAAAAGGAAGCGGACTTAGAAAGGGAGGAATAAAAAGAAGAAATTGATACAAATGGTGATCTCAACTCGCGAGCTGTTCCCGCGCGTGCCGTCTGCACGATCGATCTGCACCCGCCGACATCGATCGGCGATTTCTCGCGCCTCGCCGCGCCGCGGCGAAAATCCGTCAGCGGACGCACCCTTTCGACAATGACAAGTCTGATCGCCCCCCGCCCCCGTTTCTTCCTCGCGACATCTCGTCGCAGCGCCAAGCTCACCGAATTGAAAGCGAGCCGATCGGGCGAATCTTCCGATATTGCTTTATCGCCCATAAAAATGGCTGTTTACGACGCCCCCGATGCTTCCGGCGCTCCAACCGGGAACCCCCATCGGCTGCCAGATAAATCGCTCTGTTTCCTTCGCGAAAGCAATCGGTCCCTGCAGCGTGTGTGCTCCCTCTTTTTTTACTTTCTCGCTTTTTACGCAGGGATACGCAGGCAATGGAACGCCTCCGCGCTCGTAGACTTTCCCTCTTATCTCTATCGATGAGATCGAGAGTAGTCGCGAGAAAATGTTGCGAACGGCGCTCGCGGCTTTCTACCTCCCGTGGTCTCTAATCTTTTTATAATAACTCGCGGAGGGTATAGTTTCGATGTTGCTTTTACAAGGTAACCGTCGCGATGCATGAACAATGCATAAAGATAAATTCAACGTACGATCGTTGGGCGAGATGCAAATTTTGCCACTGCTATGTGAAAAGCTGTCTCCACTTGTCGTCGCGACTCTCACTGATCCATTTTTGCAGAAGGTAGCGGCGAACGCATTATCGCATTTTACGGTCTTACGCGTCTTAAACGCACACTCGAAAAATTCCTCGCTTTTCGACATAGTCGCGCCGTAGAAGAGACGAGGAGAAAGAAGGAAGACAAAGCGTGCCTCGAATACTCGTGTGCTTCCGAAGACCCAGTTTTTACGGACGGATTTTAGCTGCGACATAAAACGCATACGCGCGAAGACGGCATTAACGCGTTTACACAAGAGACTTGTACAGCGTTCGCGCGTTGGAAATTCTCGCGTTTTCGCGTTGGGAAATCCGCGCGTTCGACTATCGCACAGATACGTACACACGTCGAGAGAGAGAGAGAGAGAGAGAGAGAGAGAGAGAGAGAGAGAGAGAGAGAGAGAGAGAGGGAGATAGCCGTCTCTACGTCGGCACGGCACGGAAATTTCCGAGTTTACGTGAATGCGAGAGAGCGCGACGCGGTATCATGGCGTCGCGCGTCAACGAGTACATATACGACACGCATACATACGCGCACATACGCGCTATTGCGTATTACGGGAGATATACGAGGGTAACAATGTCACGGTGCGCTGATATTTGCATTTATTTCTGTCCGTATGCACGAACATTGATCGTTAAATGTTATCATCCCTGCGAGCGCGCGCCGTTATATCCTCCAGCCTCGATTTCCGGGGGGAGTATCTCTCTCTCTCTCTCTCTCTCTCTCTCTCTCTCTCTCTCTCTCTCTCTCTCTCTCTCTCTCTCGTCACTAGGTATTTCCGAAGAGCCGTGAAATCATCTTGCGCTTGCACTCCCGCGTCTTGAGAACTCGAGACCCGGATTTATATAATGCTCGAAGTGAAATAAATCGCGGTTTATCGATCTTAGTCCGTAACTTGCGAGTATAAGTTATAAATATCATATTGGTTTTCTTCTCTGTCTCTCTCTCTCTCTCTCTCTCTCTCTCTCTTTCTCTCTCCCTCTCTCTCTCTCCCTCTCTCGTCTCGTCTTTTCCTTTCTCTCATTTTTTTCTTTCCCGTGACTTGGCACGTTATTGCTTCAAGTGCTTCACTTTACTACTTTGAAAGAAGTATTCAGGCACACACGAGAGACTAAACGTTTTATTCGCGATGATGCGGTACATTCTCGATGACACTGATGAGGATGTGGGCGACCGATGCATCGTGATACTAACTCGA